CATTTTTTCATGTGTCAGTTGGCCATCTGGATGTCTTCTTTGGAGAAGTGTCTATTCATGTCTTTTGCCCATTTCTTCACTGGATTATTTGTTTTTTGGGTGTTGAGTTTGGTATAAGTTCTCTATAGATTTTGGATACTAACCCTTTATCTAATATGTGGTTTGCAAATATCTTCTCACATTCTATCAGTTTCCCTTTAGCTTTGCTGATTGATTCTTTCACTGTGCAGAATCTTTTTTATCGTTATGAGGTCCCAATAGTTCATTTTTGCTTTTATTTCCCTTGCCTCTGGAGACATGTTGAGAAAGAAGTTGCTGCAGCTGAGGTCAAAGAGGTTTTTGCCTGCTTTCTCCTCTAGGATGTTGATGACTTCCTGTCTTACAGTTAGGTCTTTCATCCATTTGAGTTTATTTTTCTGTATGGTGAAAGAAAGTGGTCCAGGTTCATTTTTCTGCATATCGCTGACCAATATTCCCAACCCCATTTGCTGAAGAGACTGTCTTTATTCCATTGGATATTCTTTTCTGCTTTGTCAAAGATGAGTTGGCCATCTGTTTGTGGGTCCATTTCTGGGTTCTCTATTCTGTTGCATTGATCTGCGTGTCTGTTTTTGTGCCAGTACCGTACTGTCTTGATGATTACAGCTTTGTAGTATAGCTTGAAGTCCGATTGTGATGCCCCCGCTTTGGTTTTTTTTTTTTTTTTCAAGATTGCTTTGGCTATTTGGGGTCTTTTCTGGTTCCACACAAATTTTAGGATTGTTGATTCTATCTCTGTCAAGAATGCTGGTGTTATTTTGATAGGGATTGCATTGAATATGTAGATTTCTTTGGGTAATATTGACATTTTAACAATATCTGTTCTTCCTATCCAGAAGCACGAAATATTTTTCCATTATTTTTGTGTCTTCTTCAATTTCTTTAGCTTCCTATAGTTTTCAGCATATAGACTTTTCACCTCTTTGGTTAGATTTATTCCTAGGTATTTTATGGTTTTTGGTGCAATTGTAAATGGGATCGATGTCTTGATTTCTCTTTCTGTTGCTTCATTATTGGTGTATAGGAATGCAGCCAATTTCTGTGCATTGATTTTATAGTCTGCAACTTTGCTGAATTCATGAATCGGTTCTAGCAGTTTTTGGTGGAATCTTTTGGGTTTTCCATGTAAAGTATCACATCTGTGAAAAATGAAAGTTTGGCCTCCACCTGGCCAATGTGGATGCCTTTTATTTCTTTGTATTGTCTGATTGCTGAGGCTAAGACTTCCAGTACTATGTTGAATAACAGTGGTGATAGTGGACATCCCTGTCCTGTTACTGACCTTACAGGGAAAGTTCTCAGTTTTTCCCCATTGAGGATGATATTAGCAGTGGGTCTTTCCTATATGGCTTTTATGATCTTGAGGTATGATCCTTCTATCCGTAATTTCTTGAGGGTTTTTATCAAGAAAGGATGTTATATTTTGTCAAATGTTTTCTCTGAATCTATTGAGAGGATCATGTGGTTCTTGTCCTTTCTTTTATTGATGTGATATATCACATTGATTGTTTTGTGGATATTGAACCAGCCTTGCATCCCAGGTATAAATCCCACTTGGTCGTGGTGAATAATTTTTTTAATGTCTTGTTGGATCCAGTTGGCTAGTATCTTGTTGAGGACATTTGTGTCCATGTTCATCAGGGAAATTGGTCTGCAGTTCTACTTTTTACTGGGGTCTTTGTCTCTTTTGGAATCATGGTAATACTGGCTTCATATAAAGAGTTTGGAAGTTTTGCTTCCATTTCTATTTTTTTGGAATAGCTTATAGAGAATAGGTGTTAACCCTTCTTTAAATGTTTGGTAGAATTACCCTGGAAAGACATCTGGCCCTGGACTCTTGTTTTTTTGGGAGATTTTTGCTTACTAATTCAATATCCTTACTGATTATGGGTCTGTTCAAATTTTCTATTTCTTCCTGTTTCAGTTTTGGTAGTTTATATGTTTCTAGGAATTTGTCTGTTTCTTCCAGATTGCCCTTTTTGTTAGCATATAATTGCTCATAATATTCTCTTATTACTGTTTTTATTTCTGCTGTGTTGGTTGTGATCTCTCCTCTTTCATTCTTGATTTTATTTATTTGGGTCCTTTCCTTTTGCTTTTTGATCAAACTGGCTAGGGGTTTATTGATTTTATTAATTCTTTCAAAGAACCGGCTTCTGGGGATGGCTGGGTGGCTCAGTCGGTTAAACGTCCGACTTCGACTCAGGTCACGATCTCGCGGTCTGTGAGTTCAAGCCCCACGTCGGGCTCTGGGCTGATGGCTAGGAGCCTGGAGCCTGCTTCCAATTCTGTGTCTCCCTCTCTCTCTGCCCCTCCCCCATTCATGCTCTGTCTCTCTCTGTCTCAAAAATAAATAAATGTTAAAAAAAAAAAGAACCAGCTTCTGGTTTCATTGATCTGTTCTACTGTTTTATAGGTTTTGATAGCATTGATTTTTGCTCTAATCTTTATTTTGGGTTTTATTTGCTGTTCTTTTTCCAGCTCTTTAAGGTATAAGATTAGGTTATGTATCTGAGAACTTTCTTCCTCCTTTAGGAAAGCCTGGATTGCTATATACTTCACTCTTATGACTACCTTTGCTGCATCCCAGAGGTTTTGGGCTGTGGTATTGTCATTTTCATTGGCTTCCATGAACTTTTTAATTTCCTCTTTTTAGTCCATTCTTTCTTTATTAGGATGTTCTTTAGTCTCCAATATTTGTTATCTTTCTAATTTTTTTCATGTGGTTGATTTCAAATTCCATAGCGTTGAAGTCTGAAAATATGCATGGTATGATCTCAATCTTCTTGTACTTGTTGAGGGCTGATTTGTGTCCCACCATGTGATCTATTCTGGAGAATGTTCCATGTGTACTGGAGAAGAATGTATATTCCACTGCTTTAGGATGAAATGTTCTGAATATATTTGTTAAGTCCATCTGGTCCAGAGTGTCATTCAAAGCCATTGTTTCCTTGTGGATTTTCTATTTAGATGATCTATACATTGCTGTAAGTGGGGTGTTGAAGTCCCCTACTATTATGGTATTATTATCAATGAATTTCTTTATGTTTGTGATTAATTGATTTACATATTTGGGTGCTTCCACATTTGGCACATAAATGTTTACAGTTGTTAGGTCTTCTTGATGGATAGACCTCTTTATTATGATAATGCCCTTCTTCATCTCTTGTTACAATCTTTATTTTAAAGTCTAGATTGTCTGATATAAGTATGGCTACTCTGGCTTTCTTTTGTTGACCATTAGCATGATAGGTGTCTTTAGGTCTAAAGTGGGTCTCTTGTAAACAGCATAGAGATGGATCTTGTCTTCTTATCCATTCTGTTACCCTATGTCTTTTGATTGGAACATTTAATCCATTGATATTTAGAGTGAGTGCTGAAAGATAAGTTTATTGACATTATGTTTCTTGGACAGTTGGAATTTCTGGTGGTATTCTCTGATCCTTTCTAGCCTTTGTTGCTTTCAGTCTTTTTTTTCCCCATCTTTTCTTCCCTGAGAAAGTGCCCCTCAAAATTTCTTGCAGAGCTGGTTTAGTGGTCATGAACTCTTTTAATTTTTGTTGGTCTGGGAAACTTTTAATCTCTCCTTCTATTTTGAATGACAGCCTTGCTGGGTAAAGAATTCTTGGCTGCATATTCTTCCAATTCAGCACATTGAATATATCCTGCCACTCCTTTCTGGCCTGTCTCGTTTCTGTAGAAAGGTCTGCTGCAAACCCGATCTGTCTTCCCTTTTAGGTTAAGGACTTTTTTCCCTTGCTGCTTTCACGATTCTTTCCTCAACTGAGTATTTTGTGAATTTGACTATGATATGCCTTGTTGATGGTCGGGTTTTGTTGAGTCTAAAGGGAGTCCTCTGTGCTTCCTGGATTTTGATGTCTGTGTCTTTCCCCAAGTTAGGAAAGTTTTCCACTATGATTTGATCACATAACCCTTCTACCCCTTTTTCTCTCTCTTCATTTTCTGGGACCCTTATGATTCTGATGCTGTTCCTTTGTAATGAGTCACTGATTTCTCTAATTCTTAAACTGTGCTCTTTTGCCTTAGTCTCCCTCTTTTTTTCTGCTTCATTATTCCCCATAATTTTGTCTTCTATATCACTGATTCGCTGCTCTGCCTCATCCATCCTTGCCACTGAAGCACCCATTCAAGATTGCAGCTCAGTTATAGAGTTTTTTGTTTCATCCTGACTTGACTTTATCTCTGTAGAAAGGGATTCTAATCTATTTTCAATCCCAGCTAGTATTCTTATTATCATGATTCTAAATTCTGGCTCAGACATCTTTCTTGTATCTGTGTTGATCAAGTCCCTGGCTGCCGTTTCTTCCTGCTCTTTCTTTTGGGGTGAATTCCTTCGTTTCATCATTTTGAAGGAAGAAAAGGAATTAATAAGGTAAAAATAAACTTAAAATTAAAAACAACACACACACACACACACAAGATCAAATAAATGACGCTAGATCTTAGGTGTGTTTTGGTCTGGTTGTTGAAAGGAGCTTGTTAGAATAGAGAAAAAAGGGAAGAAAAAAGGAAAACATTTGATAATTTGAAAAAATGAATACAAAGAAATAGAATAAAATGAAACGATGGAAGTAAAATGGAATTTGAAAAATTTACAAAATAGTAAAAATATAGTATTAAAAAATTAAAGAAAAATATTTTTAATAAAAATTGAAAATAGAAATAAATTTTTTCTCTTTCTTTATTCAAGAAAAAGAAAAGAAAAGAGAGAAAAAAAAGAAAAGTGAATAAAGCGACCAGCAAACAGACTGAAATACGAGTGAAATTACTTCATTTTCCCCTGGAAGTCAAACTATGAAGCACTTTATTGTCGGTAAAACAAGCAGGTGGAGAGACTTGGGTTCCTGAAGAGAGAGGTTGGCCCCGTTGGGCGGGGCTTAGTGTAAAGGCTCTGTTCTCCATTAGATGGCACTGCTTAGCTTACTGGGGTGGATGTTGTGGCGCATGTAGGTGTGTGTGCGCATGTGCGGGAGGGGCGAAAATGGCATCACCCGCTGTGTGGTCAGTAGTATCAGAGTTCTGTTCTCTCTGACCAGCAATCGTGCACTCATCCTGTGTCCAGCTTCCATCCACCCCCCGCTTCCACAATGTCCGTGACCAAGCGGTCAGACTGCCAGGCAGCACCTCCCTCCTGAGTTTTATCTCAGAAGCAGCTGTGTTTCCCAACCCCTCACTTCTGAGGGACTGTGGCTTTGTTCCGCTCAGACCTTCTGCGGGAGGGTCTCACCGAGCACTGGCTGGTGCCGGCCACCCCCAGGAACATTCACGAGACTGTGCTGCTGCCAATGCCCAGAGACTGCGGCTGGGTGCCAGCCCGCCCCAGAAAAAGTTCACACCCGCGTGTAGCAGCGGCGTTTCAGGGATTCTGGAAAATCACAACTCACATCTGGCGCCAAGCTTCACCCCCCAACGGCCTTGTCCCAGCACCAGCGAATGTGGTTGTTCTCCAGGATCCGCTGGGACGTTTGCCCGTGGGGAGTCCTCCCAGCAGGGGAACCGCCTCCTTTGTGGCCTGAGGACCTCGGTTTCTGCTCCCGGGGATTCGCCCCTCCCATCAGAGCTCCACCAGGTATGCAGCTGCGGAGTTTTGGACTCTGTGCTCCCCCTGTTTACAGAGTTTAATGTAGTTTAAACCCTCTCCTTCTCCTTTCTCCCTTTTTTTTTCAGTCAATTGCATACATTTTCTTTTCTCTCCAGCTGCTTTGGGTAAGGGGGATGCTTTCCATACGCTCCACCTCTGCCCCCATCTCTGTCCTCTCTCCACAAGCACAAACAGCTCTCTGCACTCTCCAAATGTCTCTCCCCCACTTCACCTCTCAGCGCTGCATACCTGCTGAATTCTGTGGTTCAGGTTGTGCAGATTGGTGTGTTAATCCTCAAATCAGTTTTCTAGGTGTGCAGGATGGTTTAGTGTTGATCTGGCTGTATTTAAGGGATGAGAGATGCAAAGAAAAGTTCCATGCTGTTCCACCACGTTGGCTCCTCTCCCCCACATTCTCATCTTTTTTATGTTTGCATAACATTCCATTGTGTGCATGTATCACATACATACCCTTACCCTTTCCTCTATCAGTGGACTCTTAGGTTGCTCCATATTTAGCACTTTTAACCTTTAAACTTTGTGTCAGCAATGTTTCAGGTTTTTTTTACTGTGGAGGCTATGTGTATCAATGATAGCAAAAGCTACCACCTACTGAGCTCCTAATACATACTAGGAATTGTAATAGGCACCTTATGTGCATTGAATAATTAATATTCATGAGAAATCTTTCTGGTGAGCATCACAGTCACCATTTTATAGATGGAGACACAGAAACTCAGGGAGGTCAAAATCACACAACATTTGAATGATAGATCAAGAATTTCAATTCAGATTCTCAAGCTCCAAATTTGGTTTAAAGCCCAGACATTCAATCCAGTTCCTAGATACCTGCTGGGGAGCATGCCATCTTCAACACACTTCTTCGTCAGGAGGAAAAAAGCATTAGTTCCTGGTGTCTGGAAAAGGAAAAGTGGGTAACAGCTACTCTAAGGAGGTGAAAATGAGCTTGAGAGATGAGTTAGATTTCATTCAGGGGGGAGGACAGAAAGACAGACATTGGCATAGATGTGCAAAGTTCACTGTTGTATTTGTGTGTATAGGATAAAGCTAGGAAAGTACTTAAAGTACTTAAGTACTTAAAGCAAGACTACGTTAAAGTATTTTAGCCTTCGTTCCCTTAAAAGATGGGAGGAGCAGGGCACCTGGGGGACTCAGTCGGTTAAGCCTCCGACTTGGGCTCAGGTCATGATCTCGCAGTCCCTGAGTTTAAGCCCCTCATCACGCTTTGTGCTGACAGCTCAGAGCCTGGAGCCCACTTTGGATTGTGTCTCCCTCTCTCTCTCTGCCCTGCCCCTGCTCGTGATCTATCTCTCTCTCTCTAAAAAATAAACATTAAAAAAAATTTTTTTAAATATGGGAGGAACAGATAACATCCTAGAGAGAATATGGGTCAGACATTAGCTCAAAAATATCTTGTATTGCTTGTTGACTGAAGCATTTTATAGACTAAAGTCTTTACTGTTCCTGAGAGAATGCTACGTTATAATTATAGGCACATTCCTTTTAAAATTTTTTAATGTTTTTATTTATTTTTGAGACAGAGAATGAGCAGGGGAGGGGCAGAGAGAGAAGGAGACACCGAATCCAAAGCAGGCTCCAGGTTCTGAGCTGTCAGCACAGAGCCTGATGTGGGGCTCGAACTCATGGACTGTGAGATCATGACCTGAGCTGAAGTCAGATGCTTAACCGACTGAGCCACCCAGGCACCCCTGGGCACATTCCTTTTAAATGTATCTATGGAGGCACCTGGCTGGTTCAGTCAGAGGAGCATGTGACTCTTGATCTCAGGGTCATGAGCTCAAGCCCCACTTTGGGTGTAGATATTACTTAAAATAAATAATTTAAAAACAAATAAATCTAGGGGCACCTGGGTGGCTCAGCCAGTTGAATGACTTCAGCTCAGGTCATGATCTCATAATTTGTGGGTTCAAGCCCTGTATCGAACTCTCTGCTCTCTGCTTTGGATTCTCTCTCTCTCTCTCTCCCTCCCTCCCTCCCTCCCTCTCCCCTTCCCCTGCTCTCTCTCTCAAAAATAAATAAATCTTTAAAAGTAAATAAATAAATCTATCTATGTAAGCTGATCACACAAGAGGAGAAAAGAAAAAAATGCAATTTGATTGTCCTCCCTCCAAATTTGCATCGGGCATCCCAGGAACAGAGAGACCTATTTAGTGGGTAATCCACAGCACAGAGAGGAAAAGATGTGCTTCATGCATAGAATTCTCAACATTAAATGTTAACTCAGGCAGCTAAAATATCCAGCAGGAAGTGGGGAAAGGATATTTTAATTTTCCATATGAGCTGGAAGAATGTTCCATCTATTTCTTGTCTTGTTTCAAGGAGACATGATCTTGTAACACTTCAGAGAGACTGAGCTCAGACCTCTCTCCTGCATGTATTTCCAAACCCCAGGTTCCCCTGGTCCAAACACCCACAGTTTGCTCATCTCCTACTATATTGTGTATAAACGTCTGTTTCAACCTGAGAGCAGGAATTACGTCTCATTCCGCTTTTGCAATCCCAGTATCCAGCATAAATCCTTGCATCTATTACGAGCTCCAAACTCTGTGAGAACAGACTTGGAACTCTCCTTCCACGCCTCACTACAACTGAAGTAAAGCTTTCGCTTCATTTTCCCCTCTAAACCCACAGAGATTAGGACAGCCCCCTAAGGCCCATCTCTCGGATTTAAACTGGCCCTTCTCTTGCAGCCGGCTGCGAGCACAGAGTACCATTGGCAGCTGAGAGAACAGAGGCGCCAAACGAAGAGAGGTGGGTGAACTCACTGCTCAGGACAAAGGCAGCTTCTTCCAAACATTCCTGGCCAACACTTCACATCACTGGCATCTTCACTTATGTCCAGGGGCAGAAGCTGAATATTTGTGGCCCCCAGAGTCTCCTTGAGAAAAGAAAAAGCAGGACCCGTGTCACCTTAGCTGAGAGGTAAGAAAACAAGATTACTTGATTTGGCGAGGGGGCTGGGGGGGGGGGGAGAGAAGACCAGAAAAGTTCTCCCTCCTATAAGTCACCTGTGGGGTGCCAGACACTACCTGGGTGCCATGGAGACTATCTGAGGTCTAATTCCCATGACAATGTGAGAAAGTCAGTGCTGTTATCTCCCTATTGGAGGCAACACAAAGGTCAGAAAGTCAGAGCCCTTGTCTGAGTCAGAGGCAGAGCCTGGGTTAGAACCAGTGTCTGTCTATTCCAAAGCCCTTCTCTTAACCTTAATGGCAATATATTTTAATTTTTTTAATGTCTATTTATTTTTGAGAGAGAGAGGGAGAGAGAGAGAGACAGAGCATGAGCAGGGGAGGGGCAGAGAGGGAGACACAGAATCTGAAGCAGGCTCCAGGCTCCGAGCTGTCAGCACAGAGCCCGCTGTGGGGCTCAAACTCACAAACCGTGAGATCGTGACCTGAGCCGAAGTCGGTCACTCAACTGACTGAGCCACCCAGGCGCCCCTAAGTCAGTACTAACGTTAAAGATCACATGGCATAGAGGCTCCTGGATGACTCAGTCAGTGAAGTGTGCAACTCTTGATCTCGGGGTTGTGAGTTTGAGCCCCATGTTGGGTGTAGAGATACTTAAAAAATAAAATCTTTTTAAAAATCACCTGGAGGGGCACCTAGGTGGCTCAGTCGGTTGGGCATCCGACTTCAGCTCAGGCCATGATCTCACAGCTTGTGAGTTGGAGCCCCGCGTCGGGCTCTGTGCTGACAGCTCGGAGCCTGGAGCCTGCTTCAGATTCTGTGTCTCCCTCTCTCTCTGCCCCTACCCCGCTCACACTCTGTCTCTCTTTTTCTCAAAAATAAACATTAAAAAATCTTTAAAAATCACATGGCTAGAACATTAGAGAAAATATGAAAGGCAATCATACAGATTAAAGGTAAGTATTTCTTTGAGAGATTTCTGCTTTATTTGTATATGTGGTGTATGTGCGCACCATTGTGATTGGGTAACAACGTGAGTATATTCCTTATTTTGGGCAATAGTAAAAATGCATGAAGCCAGCTGCACTGTATTTTACTGCATCTAGATTGCCCGGACACAGAAAGCAGGCAATAAATGAAAGCCATTTTAGCTAGTATCTTTTTTATTCCTCGTGGACCTATTGTTACCATCTTCAGTAGTAGCTCAGGTTTAGAGAGATTAGGAATTTTGCTCACTGCTCATCATAACCTCTGCAGGGGCAAAAATCATGTCAACCTTGACTATATCTCAGGCTCTTGGTGCAATTCAGGTGCAAAATGTTTGTGCAGCCATCCCCAGAGAGCCCAGTACCTTTTTAGGTGCATTTGTGAGTTATTCAGCAGGTTAATCAAGGACATTCCAGAGCATCTAAAGTTATCAGAAGGGCAAGATAACATGAAGAAGTCTTCAGGAAGAAGTTAAGAACAGGAGCAGCTAGAAGAAGAGGAGGGCAGGGCGCCTGGGTGGTTCAGTGGTTAGGCGACTGACTTCGGCTCAGGTCATGATCTCGTGGTTTGTGAGTTCTAGCCCCACGTTGGGCTCTGTGCTGACAGCTCAGAGCCTGGAGCCTGCTTCAGATTCTGTGTCTCCCTCTCTCTCTACCCCTTCCCTGCTCATGCTCTGTGTCTCTCTGTCTCTCAATAGTAAATAAACGTTTAAAAATTTTAAAAAAAAAGGAGAGGAAGGAAAAAGCAGGACAGAGGTAAGGCAGAGCATAGACAGGAAGGAAGCCCATGGCAAGAGACTGCAACAGACACTCGTTTTTAGCACCAGAGAGAGCACCTCTAATGGGCCCAGCTCTTACTCCCGGCCAAGAACAGCCCAACGGGCCAGGTGACCCCATTCAGAGCTAAGAACATCCACCCTAGACAGAAGTTGGCCTGAAAATAACTTGAAGTACCAACTTTGAGCCTCATTGTGCTTGTCTGAAAAATGAGGGCTTGTGCCAAAATACCAAGAGGGAAGTTTTCACCAAAACATATCTACCTTCCTGTGCCAAACTGTGTCCCCATAATCATAAAACAGCATCAACAATGACCACCAATAATTTATTTCATTCATATTATTCAAGGTGTTTTTATCTGTTACTTGAAGGGGAGTATCTTAATGACCTCGTCTATCTTTGCCTAAACCAACAGTTTTGGAGGGAATGATCCTTTTTTCTTAATTTGGACATGTTAGGAATTAAGCATGGTCAGTGGGGAAATTTTGCTGAAATTGAAGGAGAAGGCATTAAAGAATTGGAGAAAGAACATAATATTTGGATTCAAAGAAATCTTAGTACACTTCATGTGAAATTTTTGTCATTTTTTAAAGGGAGAGAGGGTGGACCCATACATTAAGTGCAAGAATGTGCCATCAATATTTCTGAAAGGACCTTCAGACACTGATACCAATTGTTACCTCAGGGAGCACCGTGGGAGCAAGAAAATTACTTTTAAAATTTATTTTTAAAATTAACATACATAAAATTGAGTTTTTTTGTGTGTAAATACATATATTTTAACACACATAGAAACTGTTTTTATCAGTAGCTTTTATAGGGGCACCTGGGTTGCTCAGTGGTTAAGCATCTGACTTTGGCTCAAGTTGTAATCTTATAGTTTGTGAGTTCAAGCCCCACATTGGGCTCTGTGCTTATGGTGCAGAGCCTGCTTAGGATTCTCTCTCTCTCTCTCTCTCTCTGTCTCTCTCTGTCTCTCTTTGCCTCTTCCTTGCTTATGCTCTCTCTCTCTCAAAATGATAAGTAAATAAACTTAAAAAATGAAACAAATGGCTTTTATATAAATAATGAGTGGATACAAAAAATGCAACCCAGAAATAGGTATAAAAATAATGATGCATTTGTTTTTGTGCGTTTCTGTGACTTATTTCACACAGCATTATACTCTCTAGCTCCATCCATGTCATTGCAAATGACAAGATTTCATTCTTTTTTATGGATGAATAATATTCCATTATGTGTATATGTATACACACACATACATATATATGTTACGTACACATACACCACCTCTCCTTTATCCATTTGTCAGTTTATGGACACTTGGGCTGCTGACACAAATCACTATATTGTACACTTGAAACTAATATATCACTATATGTTAACTATACTGGAATTAAAATAAAAATAGAAAAAAATAAAATAAAGGTGCAATGACTCCCTTGTACTTACTAGCCATTTTAAGAAAATGATCTTTGAAGCCCCTGTGTGCCCTTCCTACACCACTCCTCACTGCTAGGAAGTATGTTTCTTGAATTTGGGGCTCACTTTTCTCCTATTTTATCTGCCACATGACTTTGTATCCCTAAACAATATGTTTCTTAACATTTTTTTGCACAGTTTGGCTTTTATGTAAATGGAATTATAACTGCACACTCATGTAACTCTTTCTTTGTTCAGTATAACGTTTCTGAAATTGATTTATTCATAACATTAGATGTGGCTCTGATTCACTCATTGCTTTATAGAATAGTATTCCATTGTATAAGGAAATCATAATTTAGTTATCAATTCTACCACTAAACACTGGGGATGTTTACAGTTTTTTTTTTTTTTTTCTAGTAAAACGGTGCAGCTGTGAACATTAGTTACTCTGGATATATGCTTGGACACAGAATTTCTGGGGCATGGTCATACCTTAAAATTTACCACATAATGCCAAATTGTTTTCTGAAGTGATCATGCCAATTCAGACTGTCAGCGACCATGTGTGAAAGTTAGCATGATTAAACTTAATGTTTTCAGAAGTTTATATTTGTGCCAATTCCACGGATGTGAAGTGGTATCTAATTTGGGTATTAATTTTCATTTCCTTTGTTACTAATGAGATTAGCGTATTTCCATGTTTTCAGTGATGAATTATTTTTTCATGAGGTATACATTCAGGCCTTTTCCCCAAATTTCTGTGGAAAAAACCTATTTTGCATATTAACTGTCCAATTCCTTTGTATATCCTACATAGGGATTCCTTGTCACCCATATGTATTGCAGGAATATTTTTCCAGTTTGTGATTTTTAATTTTTTTTGGTGATCAGCTTTTCTTTTGATAGTTACACTTTACATTTTTTTCAAGTTTACTTATCTAAGTAATCTCTACACCCAATGCGGGGCTCAAACTCACGACCCCGAGATCAAGAGTCACACATTCTTCTGACTAAGCCATCCGGGTGTCCCAGATTTTTAATTTTATTTATTTATTTTTTTATGTTTACATTTTAAAGCAGGCAAGTTTTGAATTCTTTTCTTATATTCTTATAGTTTTCTCTGCCACCAAGGCCACAAAGATATACTTTTATTTTGTTTTCTAAAATTTCAGAAATTCGCACTTCACCTTTTGGTTTTCATTCGCCTGAAATCGATTTTCTCTGCATGTGGTATGATGTATGGTTTCAATTTCCTTTTATTTTTCTACACAAATAATTTACCCAAAACCATTAATAGAAAGACCTATCTTCTTCCTGATTATCCTCAATACAAGTTATGTGATAAATCAAGTTTGTAAATATATATATGTGTATGTTCCCAAGCCTCACCCCACCCTGTTACTCTGTTTATCTCTGACACATAATTTTTTTCATTGGGATCTTTAACTCAGAGACTAGCACACCACGAGAGATTTAGAGTGCATCGAGGTAGAGATGGGGCATTGTGGGCAGAAAATGACTTCCTTCCCTCCTCAGTTCTGCACTCCTGGGCCACCCTGGATCTCGTTTTCCCCAGCAATGCTAAACGCCTTCCCAACTTCAGGTTTTTGCACGTGCTTTTTCCTATTCTGTTTCAAGTGCGCTCTCTCTAGCTCAGTGTTCAGCCTGTTCCTCCAGACATTACTGGCCATCTTCTTTCTTGGCTTTCTTCTTAGCTAAAATTTATCCCTATATTTGTCTTCTTGTTTGCTTTCTCTATTCCTCACTAGCAAGAATATAATTTGTGAAAGCTTACGGCCACTGGTTTTGTTCGCTGTTTGATTTCAGGCCCCTTGTGCATAGTAAACACTCATATAATTGCTGTTTGATACATACGATAAATAGCAAGTCAGAAATAAGTCCAAATAGCATATTTTATGCATGCCAGTGACCTAAAAATCATACTGGATCCTCAGAGTCAGCAACAGAGGCAAAGGACCCCTGCTTCTTCTTTTTTTATTTTTTATTTTTGTATTTTTAAAAGCTTATTTATTTATTTTGAGTGAGACAGAGACAGCGCAAGTGAGGGAGGAGCAGAGACAGAGAGGGAGAGAAAGAGAATCCCAAGCAGGCTCCACACTGTCATCACAGAGCCTGACGTGGAGCTCGAACTCATGAAACCACAAGATCATGACCTAAGCTGAAACCAAGAGCCAGACACTTAACCGACTGAGCCACCCAGATGCCCCATAAAGACCCCTACTTCTAGAACTCTGTTCTTTGGACAAGTTACTTACTGCTTATGAGCCTCAGTACAGTCGTGTATGAATGGATAAAATCATGCTATTTTTGTAGGGTTGTGGAAATTAATTGATCTCCATGTGTTTAAAACATGCAGCACAGTGTAGGGGCACATATGTGGTGTTAACACATATAGTTTTTTTCCTTAAAAAAAAAAGAATGTGTTCTCTTTCTAGAAGGAGTCATTTTTAGAAATATTCAGAAAGGAAATTATTCATTGGTCTTTCTTAGAAAAACCATTATTGATGGTACTTTTCTCTAATAAGCAGTGACAAATTTCCCCCAGAAATTCAACCTATTAAAAGAGGTATGCGTTTCAGAATAAAGGGATTGTGAATCTTCCTTTATTTAAACTATTGGAGACAACCCCTTGCATCCTGAGAAACTTTTCAAGAATGAGAAAAAGGAGAGGGAGAGAGAGAGAGAGAGAGAGAGAGAGAGAGAAAGGAAGGAAGGGGAAGGAAGGAAGGAAGGAAGGAAGGAAGGAAGGAAGGAAGGAAAGACAAAGACCAGACCACTTAAAGTCATCAAAAGAAAAGAAAAAAACAATCATAGCTTTTACCTCCATTTTACAGACAAGATAACTGAGGCTCAGTTTCAGATTCTATGTCTCCACCCCCCCCCCCCCGCCTTTCCCCCACCCTGGCTGTATTTCTCTCTCAAAAATAAACATTAATTTTTTTAAAAAAGATACCTGAGGCTTATAAGGGTTGAATTGCCGAAGGTCACAGATTTACTAAGTACATGTGGAGGTTTTCCATTTCCGGTTTTGCGACGTCCCACCTCACCAGTCCTCCTGACAACAGTCAACCCACAGCACTTACATTGGCTCTCGGGACCCCTGATGCTCTTCCTCTTTGCCGTTTTACTCCTGCGTGGATCACAGTCTCCTGTAACCTGCTTGTTTTGCACTTAGATGGAGAGGCCCCTGGAGTTGGGCAACGTGACCAGAGTCCAGGAGTTTGTCTTGTTGGGTTTATCCACAAGGCTGGGCATAAGGATTGTCCTGTTTGCCATCTTCCTGGCCCTCTACCTGCTGACCCTCCTGGAGAACATGCTCATCATCTACCTCATCTGCAGTCACATCGAGCTCCACAAGCCCATGTATTTCTTCCTGGGCAACCTGAGCTGCCTGGAGATGTGCTACGTGTCCGTGACCGTGCCCAGCCTGCTCGTGGGGCTGGGCTCCAGTCCATGCCATGTGCCCTTCGCAGCCTGCATGACACAGCTTTTTTTATTCATAGCTCTCATTAGTACCAAGTGCACCCTCCTGGCCTCCATGGCCTATGACCGCTACGTGGCCATCTGCCGCCCACTCCACTACCCACTGCTCATGAGGCCCCAGGTCTGCCTGGGCTTAGCCTTGTCCTCATGGCTTGGGGGGCTGTTGGTCTCAGTGGCCAAGACATCATGCATCGCCAGTCTGTCCTACTGTGGCCCCAATGTCCTCAACCACTTTTTCTGTGATGTCTCCCCTCTGCTCAACCTGTCCTGCACTAACGTGGCCCTGACGGAGCTGGTGGACTTCATCTCTGCTATCGTCATCTTCTGTGGGTCATTGCTAGTGGCTCTGGCCTCCTATGTGGCCATCGGGAGGGCTGTGCTCCACATGCCATCAGCCGTCACCCGCTGCAGAGCCCTCTCCACCTGTGCCTCCCACCTGGTGGTGGTGGGCATCTTCTATGGGGTGGTCCTCTTCATGTATTCCCGCCCCCGCCTCATCGGTTCCACAGACCTCAACAAGGTGCTATCTGTCATCTACACGGTGGTCACACCCATGTGCAGCCCCGTCATCTACTGCCTGCGGAACAGGGAGGTCCAGGCAGTGCTGCAGAAAACCCTCCACTCACCCCGGGTCTCTTCAGCGACAACACACTTTGCCCACTCCTGATTTTAACAGAGCACACTGATGGTCACCAGAAGGGAGGTGGGTGGGGGTGCATTGAACAGGTGATGGGGAAGAAGGAGGGCCCTTGTGATGAGCACCGGGTGATGTATGAAAGTGTTGGGTCACTAGATTGTGCACCTGAAACTAATATTACACTGTATGTTAACCAACTGGAATTTAAATAAAAACTTTAAAAAGTAATAATAAGATAACACTCCTTCCCTGTTCCCAACAACTTTTGCTTCACCATATAATTGGCTTTGGCTAATGGAATGTAGACCAAATTGAGAGTCCTGAGCTGATGTCTGGGGAAGCACTAACTGTTTCCACTGCCTTCTTGCCATTTGCCTTGAGAAGAACATCTCCTGGTTCTGGGATGAGAGACAAGTAGAACAGACCTAAGCCTGCCCTGCAGCCTGAAACAGAACACCACCATAGATCCAGAAGCCAGAAAAAAAAAAAAAAAAAAAAAACAAGTGTGCTACTGAAGCCACTGGAAAACATTTTTGGATTGCTTGTAACAAAACAGTGTTGTAGCAATGACTGACTAATACAGCATCATATTGGTTAGGTAATGGATTTCAGCCTAAAACAGTTGCTTAAACAGGATACAACGAATTTCTCATCAATGTAGCAGCACTTATTTGGTATTAATAAGACAGTCCAAAACGTCAGAGTTCCCCTATCTTGTGATATCATTCTCAGCATGACGCTTCCAGGTCAGGGTGCAAGATGGCTGCTCCAGGTCCAGTCATCACGCTTGAATTCCAACCAGAAGAGAAGGAGAGTGAAGGAAGTACAGGAAAGTGTCTTTCCCCTAAAAAGCATAACCTAAAACTTTTCCATGGACATTTGTCCAGCACATACTCCTATGACATCATGGAGAGAAGGGAAGAGCTGAGAAACATTTTTTTGTGTGTGTATGATGTAAGAAAGTGGTCCAGGTTCATTCTTCTGCATGTCGCTGTCCAGTTTTCCCAGTACCACTTGCTGAAGAGACTGTCTTTATTCCATTGGATATTCTCTCCTGCTTTGTCAGAGATGAGTTGGCCATACATTTGTGGGTCCATTTCTGGGTTCCCTTTTCTGTTCCATTGATCTGAATGTCTGTTTGTGTGCCATGGAAACATTTTTTTTTTCTGGATTTCCAGCGGAGATATGGTGGATCTATTACTAAAGGAAGAAGGAAGGACTGATGTTGTAGATGACCACAACCTTTGTCACACATATCTCCCTCACAGTGTGGCTGTGAATGTGACAAGTCTATATAAAGTGTTTTGAATAGGGTCTGAAATTCAGCAAATTCTCTATAGACAGTAGAATTATTATAGCTGTAAATCTTTGGGAATATGGAGATGGATAAGACATCACCTTTCTTCAGTGAGTTGTTCTCTTATTTATTCGACCAGATTCACCGAGCAGCTAACGTGGACCAGGCATTGTTCCGGGCAACGCGGATGGGGTCCATGCTCTGAGGTGCTCACGTTATGCTTTGCATATTTTCAGCTGGCTGTGAAGTGAGCTCCACGGAGGAATAGCAAGAGGAGTGGAGTGTGGTGCCACAGCAACTGGGGATGCAGAAGCCAGACCTTGAAGGTGTCTGCATGCACAGGGAAGACAAGGAAGATCACGGCATTCAGATGACACTGGTGCACAGGCACCAGATACGACACCCCTGATATGTCCACACAACGCTGAGTCTAGTGCAGCTGGAACCACAACAGAATGGCATCTTGAGTTCCCAGTGAAAGAGGTTCAGCTCTGTCTTATGGACACAAAAGACACAGATTAAAGTGATTTTTTAGGGGCACCTGGGTGGCTCAGTCAGATAAGCATTCAACTTCGGCTCAGGTCATGATCTCATGGTTTACGAGTTCAAGCCCCATGTCTGGCTCTATGCTGATGGCTCAGAGCCTGGAGCCTGCTTTAGATTCTGTGTCTCCTTCTCTCTCTGACCCTTTTCTGCTCGTTCTCTCTCTCTCTCACTCTCTCTGTCTCAAAATAAACATTAAAAATTTTGAAAAAAATAAAGTGATTTTTAAATTGAAAATTACATCTTTTTTTTAAATATGAAATTTATTGTCAAATTGGTTTCCATACAACACCCAGTGCACATCCCAAAAGGTGCCCTCCTCAATAGCCATCACCCACCCTCCCTTCCCCCCTACCCCCCATCTACTCTCAGTTTATTCTCAGTCTTTAAGAGTCTCTTATACTTTGGCTCTCTCCCTCTCTAACCTCTTTTTTTCCTTCCCCTCCCCCATGGGTTTCTGTTAGGTTTCTCAGGATCCACATAAGAGTGAACACATATGGTATCTGTCTTTCTCTGTATGATTTATTTCATTTAGCATAACACTCTCCAGTTCCATCCATGTTGCTACAAAAAGCCATTTTTCATTCCTTCTCATTGCCACATAGTACTCCATTGTGTATATAAACCACAATTTCTTTATCCATTCGTCAGTTGATGGACATTTAGGCTCTTTCCATAATTTGGCTATTGTTGAAAGTGCTGCTCTAAACATTGGGGTACCAGTGCCCCTACGCATCAGCACTCCTGTATCCCTTGGGTAAATTCCTAGCAGTGCTATTGCTGGGTCATAGGGTAGGTCTATTTTTAATTTTTTGAGGAACCTCCACACTGTTTTCCAGAGTGACTGCACCAGTTTGCATTCCCACCAACAGTGCAAGAGGGTTCCCGTTTCTCCACATCCTCTCCAGCATCTATAGTCTTCTGACGTGTTCATTTTAGCCATTCTGACCAGCGTGAGGTGGTGTCTCAGTGTGGTTTTGATTTGTATTTCCCTGATGAGGAGCAAGCACATTGAGCATCTTTTCATGTGCCTGTTGGCCATCTGGATGTCTTCTTTAGAGAAGTGTCTATTCATGTTTTCTGCCCATTTCTTCACTGGATTATTTGTTTTTCGGGTGTGGAGTTTGGTGAGCTCTTCATAGATTTTGGATACTAGCCCTTTGTCCGATATGTTATTTGCAAATATCTTTTCCCATTTCGATAGTTGCCTTTTAATTTTGTTGAGTGTTTCCTTTGCTGTGCAGAAGCTTTTTATCTTCATGAGGTCCCAATTGTTCATTTTTGCTTTTAATTCCCTTGCCTTTGGGGATGTGTCAAGTAAGAAATTGCTATGGCTGAGGTAAGAGAGGTTTTTTCCTGCTTTCTCCTCTAGGGTTTTGATGGTTTCCTGTCTCACAATCAGGTCCTTTATCCATTTTGAATTTGTTTTTGTGAATGGTGTAAGAAAGTGGTCTAGTTTCATCCTTCTGCATGTTGCTGTCCAGTTCTCCCAGCACCATTTGTTAAAGAGACTGTCTTTTTTCCATTGGATGTTCTTTCCTGCTTTGTCAAAGATGAGTTGGCCATACTTTTGTGGGTCTAGTTCTGGGGTTTCTATTCTATTCCATTGGTCTATGTGTCTGTTTTTGTGCCAATACCATGCTGTCTTGATGATGACAGCTTTGTAGTAGAGGCTAAAGTCTGGGATTGTGATGCCTCCCGCTTTGGTCTTCTTCAAAATTACTTTGGCTATTCAGGGCCTTTTGTGGTTCCATACAAATTTTAGGATTGCTTGTTCTAGCTTCAAGAAGAATGCTGGTGCAATTTTGCTTGGGATTGCATTGCATGTGTAGATTGCTTTGGGTAGTATTGAAATTTTAACAATATTTATTCTTCCAATCCATGAACGTGGAATGTTTTTCCATTTTTAATATCTTCTTCAATTTCCTTCACAAGCGCTCTATAGTTTTCAGCATAGAGATCTTTTACATCTTTGGTTAGGTTTATTCCTAGGTATTTTATGCTTCTTGGTGCAGTTGTGAATGGGATCAGTTTCTTTATTTGTCTTTCTGTTGCTTCATTATTAGTGTATAAGAATGCAACTGATTTCTGCACATTGATTTTGTATCCTGCGACTTTGCTGAATTCATGTATCAGTTCTAGCAGACTTCTGGTGGAGTCTATCGGATTTTTCATGTATAACATCATGTCATCTGCAGAAAGTGAAAGCTTGACTTCATCTTTGCCAATTTTGATGCTTTTGATTTCATTTTTTTGTCTGATTGCTGATGATTCTAGAACTTCCAACACTATGTTAAACAACAGCGGTGAGAGTGGACATCCCTATCGTGTTCCTGATCTCAGGGAGAAAGCTCTGTTTTTCCCCAGTGAGGATGATATTAGCTATGGGCTTCATAAATGGCTTTTAGATGTTTAAGTATGTTCCTTCTATTCTGACTTTCTCGAGGGTTTTTATAAAGAAAGGATGCTGAATTTTGTCAAATGCTTTTTCTGCATCAATGGACAGGATCGTATGGTTCTTATCTTTTCTTTTATTAATGTGATGTATCACATTGATTGATTTGTGAATGTTGAACCAACCCTGCATCCCAGGAATGAATCCCACTTGATCATGGTGAATAATTATTTTTATATGCTGTTGAATTCGATTTGCTAGTATCTTATTGAGAATTTTTTCATTCATATCCATCAGGGATATTGGCCTGTAGTTCTCTTTTTTTCTGGGTCCCTGTCTGGTTTAGGAATCAAAGTAATGCTGGATTCATAGAATGAGCCTGGAAGTTTGCCTTCCCTTTCTATTTTTTGGAATAGCTTGAGGAGGATAGGTATTACCTCTGCTTTAAATGTCTGGTAGAACTCCCCTGGGAAGCCATCTGGTCCTGGACTCTTATTTGTTGGGAGATTTTTGATAACTGCTTCAATTTCTTTGCTGGTGATGGGTCTGTTCAAACTTTCTGTTTCTTCCTGTTTGAGTTTTAGAAGTGTGTGGGTACTAAGGACTTTGTCCATTTCTTCCAGGTTGTCCAGTTTGTTGGCATATAACTTTTCATAGTATTCCCTGATAATTGTTTGTATCTCTGAGGGATTGGTTGTAATCATTCCATTTTCATTCATGATTTTATCTATTTGGGTCATCTCCCTTTTCTTTTTGAGAAGCCTGGCTAGAGGTTTGTCAATTTTATTTTTTCAAAAAACCAACTCTTGGTTTCATTGATCTGCTCTACAGTTTTTTTAGATTCTATATTGTTTATTTCTGCTCTGATCTTTATTATTTCTCTTCTTCTGCTGGGTTTATGCTGCCTTTGTTGTTCTATTTCTTTTAGGTGTGCTGTTAGATTTTGTATTTGGGCTTTTTCTTGTTTCTTGAGATAGGCCTGGATTGCAATGTATTTTCCTCTCAGGACTGCCTTCGCTGCATCCCAGAGCGTTTGGATTGTTGTATTTTCATTTTCATTCGTTTCCATATATTTTTTCATTTCTTCTCTAATTGCCTGGTTGACCCATTCATTCTTTAGTAGGGTGTTATTTAACCTCCATGCTTTTGGAGGTTTTCCACACTTTTTCATGTGGTTGATGTCAAGCTTCATAGCATTGTGGTCTGAAAGTATGCATGGTATGATCTCAATTCTTGTATACTTATGAAGGGCTGTTTTATGACCCAGTATGTGATCTATCTTAGAGAATGTTCCATGTGCACTCGAGAAGAAAGTATATTCTGTTGCTTTGGGATGCAGAGTTCTAAATATATCTGTCAAGTCCATCTGATCCAATGTATTATTCAGGGCCCTTGTTTCTTTATTGATCCTGTGTCTAGATGATCTATCCATTGTTGTAAGTGGAGTATTAAAGTCCCCTGCCATTACCACGTTCTTATCAATAAGGTTGCTTATGTTTGTGATTGTTTTATATATTTGGGGGCTCCCGTATTCGGCGCATAGACATTTATAATTGTTAGCTCTTCCTGATGGATAGACCCTGTAATTATTATATAATGCCCTTCTTCATCTCTTGTTACAGCCTTTTTTTTTTTCAACGTTTATTTATTTTTGGGACAGAGAGAGACAGAGCATGAACGGGGGAGGGGCAGAGAGAGAGGGAGACACAGAATCGGAAACAGGCTCCAGGCTCTGAGCCATCAGCCCAGAGCCTGACGCACGGCTCGAACTCCCGGACCGCGAGATCGTGACCTGGCTGAAGTCGGACGCCTAACTGACTGCGCCACCCAGGCGCCCCTCTTGTTACAGCCTTTAATTTAAAGTCTAGTTTGTCTGATATAAGTATGGCTACTCCAGCTTTCTTTTGGCTTCCAGTAGCATGATAAATAGTTCTCCATCCCCTCACTCTCAATCTAAAGGTGTCCTCAGGTCTAAAATGAGTCTCTTGTAGACAGCAAATAGATGGGTCTTGTTTTTTTATCCATTCCGATACCCTATGTCTTTTGGTTGGTGCATTTAGTCCATTTACATTCAGTGTTATTATAGAAAGATATGAGTTTAGAGTCATTATGATGTCTGTAGGTTTCATGCTTGTAGTGATGTCTCTGACACTTTGTCTCATAGGATCCCCCTTAGGATCTCTTGCAGGGATGGTTTAGTGGTGATGAATTCCTTCAGTTTTTGTTTGTTTGGGAAGACCTTTATCTCTCCTTTTATTTTAAATGACAGACTTGCTGGATAAAGGATTCTCAGCTGCATATTTTTTCTGATCATCACATTGAAGATTTCCTGCCATTCCTTTCTGGCCTGCCAAGTTTCAGTAGAGAGATCAGTCACGAGTCTTATAGGTCTCCCTTTATATGTGAGGGCACGTTTATCCCTTGCTGCTTTCAGAATTCTCTCTTTATCCTTGTATTTTGCCAGTTTCACTCTGATATGTTGTGCAGAAGATCAATTCAAGTTACGTCTGAAGGGAGTTAGTTCTCTGTGCCTCTTGGATTTCAATGCCTTTTTCTTTCCCCAGATCAGGGAAGTTCTCAGCACCTTTCTCTC